CCATGCCAATAGCATTGGGAAACTTTCTAACCAACACAGTCAAACCTCCTAGCCATAAACAAACTGACTTCCATTCAAAAGCTTCCTCTCAAACAACTTTTGCCCTGTGCTCCCAAGAGTTCTCTGCCTTTGAATGTCCATCTTTTTCACGATGGTCTAAACACAGGATTTTGTTACTACATTCAAGGGAAAGGATATTGTTACTATCCTCAGGTTACTGCAGAACACACTTAAGGCTCTAAAAGTCATATTTAATCTCATGTCTGTTGGCTGCTAGAACTATTCTTATGGAATTAAGAGAGAAAACAGTATACACGTATCAATAATATACAATATAATCAATGTGCCAAAAATTCTACCATGCATTGGGCTTGAGGTCAGGATTGAAATTTGGGATATAGACTAGATCTCTCTCAATTTTAAGTTTCACCATATATTAGACTTAACCCTTCTTTTTCCAAACATACTTTATCACCACAAATCATTGGAACTATGTGAACACGTTTCTGCTAGGGATTTTGTTAAGCTTCTGAAAAAGTTTAATTATATATGTACAGCCCTAGTCTTGAATATAAACACATATACACACATACTTGCCAGCAAAACATGCTGAATATGTTAGAAATGCAACACTCCCTCTAATGAATGTGTTAAGTCACCTAAAAATTGGTACATTGTAAAAATTATTTGGGCATAGAAAATTATAAAATATAAAAAATTTCTAATGTTTAAAATTATTTTATATGTACTGTACCGTATGTGTAATTATTTTTACATTGTAAAAAGTATCTTTAGGATACTATTGAAACCATAGCTTCTGCTTAAGCAGCACTCTGGGTGCAGCCTGGGTGTGCACACATGCACACAAAGCACACACTCACAGGCACTCCCCATCTTACACCTGCTCTGAAGCAGTAGGAAGTGAATTCTCAATCTGTCAACATGACCATCTGGTCTATCTGCATATCATGGCTGTCTCTAGTACTATATGAAGGAATGGCAGTCACGAGGCCAAAATAAAACTAACATGCACCTGAATGGGAAGAGCTCCTCTTTTGGCTGAAATGGAAACACGTGGCTCATCGTAGCCAAACTAGCAAAATTCTGACTTAAAATGAATATTCCTGGAAGCAAGAGCAAAGGAAGACTTTGGTATGGACCATGGGGTGATGAACAAGACTGCCCTACAGGTTCCAGGATGGGCACCAAGCTGCTGGATACTAACACAGCTCTTCAGCAAAACCAGAGACAGACCAAGCAGCAGCTCCTGCCCTCCAAGGTTCCTCTGCAGAGCATTCACGTCCTATCCTAAAGCTCACGGGCACTCGCACGGCCATTAGGATGGCATCAGTTCCTTTGTCATTGGCTAATTAGCAGTTGCAGCAATTTACTGACAATTTTGGTCCCTTAATCTTTCCAAGTAGATTTTTTTTTTTTTGAGATGGCTAAAAATACTTACAATCTTCGAAAACTCCTCACCTTTAAAAAGTGACAAAGGCTCAGTGTGCTTCAGCTTTCGGCCCATTGCCACCTGCGAATTAGCAAGGGCCGCTATTGGATTAAACATAATTCCATTTGTTTGATTTTAGATTTTAAGTGTCACCACACGTAAAGAGTACCTCAGAGCTGCCGCTGCTCCACATCAGGTAAGGCCAAACATAAACAGTGACTATCATTTCATGTCGTAAATAAAAGCGACCTACCTCTGTCCAAGAATGAAGTCCTTTTAAAAGTGCAACCTCTTACCAAAATGCAACTAACTTAACAGAATCCTTAGAATTTGATTACATTTCCAGAAGTTATAGAGAAGCAGTTTCAAAAAAAAAATGGAAAAAGAAAAGAAAGAAAGAAAAAACTCTCCAGAAAGTTCTCGGTTGAGTGCCTACTAATGAACAAAGGTTAACTTTATCTAAAAGGTCAAATGCCTGGTGGCTAAGGTTATGACCTTAACAACTTAAATTGTGACCTTGCCACGTGCCGGGTATATTGTAGACTCTGATACAGATCATCTGGTAAAGGCTGGTCATAAATTAGCTTTACTGTTACATGCCCACAAAGAAACCCATTTGCCATGATACCATAATACCACCAAGTTGTCATATGATACACGGGAAAGACAATGCAAATAGAGACCAAATTAAAGACATAAAGTGGTTTTGTTGTTTTATGGACTGGACACGATGAAAGTCTCAGGCTTATGGAATCATGTGACTTCACTATAGGTCTTACTGTTTATTTGACACAAAGTCACACAGTTCTAACACCACCAGATTTAGGGCTGTACTCAAAACACTGGCTTTTACCATCTCTAAACGTTAGGGGGGAAAAAAAATCACCTCTGCTTTTAACAAATATTTGATTATTCATTTGCTTCAAGTATTCACATTTTAATGTTTTGCCAAAAAAAAAAACAGCCAGTACATGAAGTAATAATTAACGTACATATTTTTAAAAGAGCGCAGGGAACCTCATTTTGGTGGTTACGCAGAAGAGAGGAGGCATTCTGGAAGGAAGAAAGTACATTTTCAAAGCAATGAAAAAAAATGCACTACAGGTGCAAAGGCCACAATGGTTTTGGCATGGATGGGGAAGCACGCTTCAGAGCCTTTGCTTCTTGCCAATACTGGCAAGTCCTCAAAACTTTTAAGGAGGTAAAAACATTGTTTAGTGTTGACAAATCTTCAGCCTTCTAAGGGAGGCTTGTCAAATCGGCCGCACATAGGTGACCGATCTACCTCGTATCGGCACTGGCAACTTCTCTTCCACAAATAAGAGGTCGCAAAATATCTTAAATCCAATTTGAAGTGTTTCCCAATAAAAGGCCTTTACAATTTTCTTTGCGCAAGCTCCCTATTGCGGGCACGCAGGCAACCATTACGGTAGTGCTCTGGAAACCAACGGCCGGACATTTGGCTAGTATTCAGGGCCTGAGAAGGAATTCTGGGATCCACGAGGAACACCCAAGCGAAGGTAGTCTGATCCATGTGGCTGTCAATAAATCTTTCATGAGCTGTAAGAACGCTAACTCTTCTAAGCAACCTCCCAAATGTCATTACAACAGCATTACTCCTTCAGGCGTCTTCCCAACCAGCAACTGTGCTGTCTTAAGGACAGGAAGTAACTACACAGTAATAACCCACCGACAGTGAAAGGTGAACCAGGGAATGGGAAGAGCCAGACAGCCACCTGTCTTTTAAGGTAATTTCCCTCAGATGTTATAGAAATGCTTAACATAAAAGCACAGAACAGGTCTTGCTCAAACCAACAGAAACTCCACAGACATTTCAGTTTTGGTTGTTTCTTACAGGAAGAACACTCACACCCTTCGTCCGTTGCCAGCATCCTAAAGTCTCTAAGTTGCCCAATTAGAACTTTCACCATCATTAATAAATTCTTTTCATAAATATCTAAATGATAAACACATGATGTAAAGAGTGCACTAAGAAAGCACGGGGGCCGCCTTATAACTGTTTTGCATGCTCAGGCACTTAACACATGCAAATGTTGGAAAAAAAACTTTAACTTTGATTTTTACTATGGACAAGGAAAGTGAGCAGCAAGGTTAAGGGGGGTTAAGGAAAGGCCACTTGTTCCTGTGTAGAACTTCGGCTGCCTCGAACTGGCTAAAGCAACAGGCATGCGTTGTAATTGAGCGTACATTTTCAAAAGCCCAAATATTTGAGACGTTTTCAGAGCGCATCCTCTGAAATACACATCTCTCCCCTGCCAGCGCAACACAAATGATGATGTGACAGGCTTGCAACGTCAGTTTCTCCAGTTTCTTAAGTAAGGACAGATGGGTAACAAAAGTTCTCCTTCTAAATCATATATTGGAAAAAAAAAACATAGAGTGAAATGCTAACCGATTTCTTTGAAAGTTAAATTTTTTTTCAGATTTTAAAAATCTTTTGCAAAATAGTGTTGACTTTGCAGATAGTATATTTTCTTTTCATTGTGGAGGGGGAAAAAAAGAAGAAAAAAATGTGTGTAGAAGAGAGAGAAGAAGCCCCTGCACAAGCCACTGGTAGGATTCCCCAACTTTCTTTCTCCCATCTGGCTTAAGTAACTGCCATGAAGGCAATCTAGCAAGACTGATATGTACATATAAAAAGTCAACAAGTTACACAAGACCTGAGCTTTCACGTAACACAATGAGCCTTTGTCTAAAACAAGACGAAAGGAACAAAGTAAAGCTGCATTATTCCAGCCAGCCCTCAACAGTTGATTCCTGAACGTTCTTCCAAATTCTGAAGCACACTCGGCTAAGACAGGTCTCAAAATCAATAGTGAATCTCATGCAAATCGAAATAGGTCGGTGGATTGATCGCCAATAGCCATTTCCCAATGCATTTCACACGGGCTAGGCAAGCCGGGCACGTTTAATGTGACCTGCTTAGAGTCTGGTTGATTGGTTTCCTTCAGCTATTTGAAATGACGCAGAGAATTCCCACATAAGAAGCTGCTAAGCTTGGATATCAATGTGATTATCTTTCTCTCATAAATGCCCGGTATTTTCATAGTAACCTTACCTCCAGCTTCTTAATTGGCAAGGGGGTGCAAGAGGCCTCAAAAGTTTAAAAACAGTCCCAACAGAGGAGCAGCAAACAACAAACAAAACACATTTTTAACAAGGCCACAATCCAGCTTAAAATCTTTTCTTTATAACGAGGGTTGTCATGAGGCTTCTCTTACCATGAGTTGGGGAAAAGAAGGTGACTACACCTTCTCACCCCCGGAATTACTGAGACTTCTGAGAGCATTACTTACCATATGTGACCTGAGTGGGAATTCTCTGAGAGCTTTGCTTTTTTTACCTGAATGAGGGTGGCACCTCAGACAGGGGTAGCAAATTGTCCTGACTCTGGTTTACCTCTGAAAGCTCACTGGCCCGATGCCCTAGGTTGGCCCTACAGGGAGGTCAGGAATGGTTCGGCATTCCCAGAGATCATCAGAAGGGGCACACAGAAGAAAGCAGAAGGAGGTCTTTCCATTGCACTTACCTGCTGCGTGCACAAAGTATGCCAAATATAAGTCGAGTTCCTTAACAGAAACCCCTATGTGATGGGGCTGGACACAGAGCCCTGGATTCGAGCACTGCGGGGACTTTACAAGACGCTCGCCATCAGTACTTTCCAGCGGAATACCTTTGAACAGGATCACCATGACGAGGTCCAACCTCCACACTTTGTCTGCCTGGCGGAGGCAGTCAATTCTCCGCATCTTGCCTTTCTGGTCTGGGTTGGAAAGGACACAGCATGGAGGTTTTTTCCCTGTAACTGTAAGAACAAAATCCTCTCGGTATTCGGGTCGGATATCTTTCCGTAACTTGGCCAGGAGTCGGGAAGCCCACTTCTGCTTGACTTCGGGCTTCTCACTGAGCAGTTCATCCTTCACGGCCCTCTCCTCTTCTTTCGACATGCGCTTCTCATGTTTTTTGAAGTATTTCCGCTTTCGGGCCTGCAGGTTGAACCATGTGTAGGCGAAGGCGCGGACATGGGGCAGAAGTGCTTCGATGAAAGGATGAAACTCATCCTGGGCAAAGGAATAAAGACAAAAGTACAAATATGACCCACACGAAAGAAGACAACTTGCCTCTGGGAGTTGCCCTAAAGAAATCCTTCATTTCGCATGAAATCTGGTCCAAGTATTATATTTCCTTTAAAACCATATTAAAGGCCCTAAGGGCAACCAAGGGGAAGGGGAACATACTCTCAGTACCATTGCATATGATCTGAAAGGAGAAAATTTCTAAGAATTGTTCAAGGTTTTGGTACATTCTACCGTGCGGCCTACTTCCCAAACCCTTCGCATAGCAAGCACAGTTGATCTAAGCGCTAATAACAATATATACTCTTAACCCTAGTTCCAGGAGGCCATATCTAATTCTGTCCCAGCCTTGACCTCACTGTCTGTAGTGTAGCCAGGTCCCAGCGGCCAGATTGGCAAATTCTGAGCACTCAGGTGCCAGTCAATGTTTATGGAAGTCTAGGAGCAAGACCCATCTCTACCGTCAAAGAAAACAAAGGCTTTCCCTCTAGAGAGCCCCTGTAGACTCTCATCGGCCTCTCATGGATTTTGGGAATATCTTAATTACTCTTCTAAATATTATAGTTACCGATAATTTACCAAGAAAATAGAAAATGTGTCAGATCTTCATAGGAAAGAAAGGAAGAGCTAGTACTCATTTGGCTAAAATAAAAGACCTAGGCCTAAAAAATCAGGACGAACTATGGGAAGAGAACAAAAAAGGAGTGTGGGGGGGCACGCCAAACAAAGCAGAGCTCCATGCCCAGAGAAAACAGGGTGCCCCACCGTGACAGCACTCCAGTAACTGAACACGCTCACAGGCTGGTAGGCCTGGGCTAGGAAGACCCTCAAAAGCAACCAGCCCTATAAAATACATCATCTCATTTTTAAAAATAATATTTCAGCTGTTTTCCCCATCAGCAAGCAGGAGATTCAGGGGAAACCTTCACAGATTCCTTTTTAAAAGTCAGATAATTTGAAGAGAAAATTGAATTTAAAGTATTTGAATTTTTCTTCCTGGTTTACTTTTTAAAAATATGCGATTCTTATGTGAACGTTGTTTAGAAATCTTAAGTATAAAAATTTTTAAAAAGTTAAAAAGTAACATTCACAAATACCTCAGAGAGGCCATTCAACTCCTGATTAACTAGGCCACACCGATTTTATATAACGGCCTTCTGCCACAATGATAAATTATTTACTTTCAAATAAATAAAGATAAAAAACTAGAGGAATATTTGGTGACTTTTTATGGAAATTTAGAGTGGACAAATATAAACATATTCCTTTTTAACATTTTTATAACAACCTAAACATATATATTCTTGAGATATGAGAAACTACAATATGAAAAATAGCATTACTACTAAAGAAATTATTATAATTTTAAACATCCAAATGTATACTAAAGGTAATATATTTTAATAGCCAAATCTGTTCAAGTTTTTTTACAAATTTTAATTAACCATGTAAACATTATATACAGCAGGATTCTTTAAATTAACAGTATAATAATATAATGTATATTTAATTGTTATAAAATTGAGCTTTTCTCTCTTTCTGCACAAATTTTAGACTCCGTGGCTCAAGTTCAGTTTTAAAAGTTGCTCTTTTTCAAAAAAAAGGAATGAAAAAAAGAAGCGGTACGCTTTGGTTAACATGTGTGCATTCTTCGAGTCGGGGAAAAAGAGTGATATACAAGAATGATATTATTCTTTACCATAAACCATTAGCATTTTAAAACTGTATAATGTTTAAGAATCTTTATTCCTTTGGAAGAAAACTCAGGGGGCAAGTCGCAGTTTATCCGCTAAGGTACATGCCAAACCACAAAGCATTTAAACATTACTAAATTCTGAGCTCATCCTTGAAATGTTCTGAAATACATAAATGCTCTGCACTTCGTATTGACTGACATCCAGATGTGTACAGGACATCCTAGAGACTAAGGCGGTGGCATCATGGAAAGAGTCTCTGAAGTCGACCTGAAACTACACAGTGAGCCTTCTCCAAAGGGAGGCGTTCATTTCAAAGACTCAGCTCCATTTTACAAGGCAAGGCAAATCCCTCCAAACAAATTGTATCTGTGCTAAGACATTACTTTATTAATGATAATAAACACATGAAATAAACATTCTAACGTGGTAATTTTTTATGTCCAAAGATACTCCTAAAATGCTTCTTAAAAACTAAAAACTGCATCCTTTCACACTCAGAAGCACTGCATTCACCTGCCAACCAAATGCCCATAGGTCTCTTCACAAAATATCTGAAAATAAGGTCCACTAGCCATCATGGACCATCTACATCCCCCAGTTCTGCATCACAAGTATTTACGATGCATTATTCCCCAAAGGTTTCTAGAATGTGAGTAAAAGTACACAATATTTTATATAGCTTTACTCAAATGACAACCATACTTAGCCAATGTATTGATAGAAATAGCCCCCAAAGCAGCCAAACTTAAAAAAAAAAATCCAAAGAAATATCCAAAGAAAGCAAACATGTTTCGGGGGTGAAGGGATGTTCTCATAAGTCATGCTGCTGAACAAAACACCATAAACTGTGTGCTATTTCAAAAATATTAAGGAGCAAACAAGTCATATTTTACATAAATAGTTGATGAGACTGTTACAACTCACCAATAAAAATAAACCTGTGGACCAGCTTCAAAGCCGCATTGCTTTGAATCGGCATCTAAAATGTGGATCTGTTGAAAGCAGGCCAAGTTGAAGAGCCACAGAATAGTGGTGGTGCTGGAAACTAGGGGTTTTTCCCCCCAAAGCTTTACTCATAAATTTCTGCTGACCTGTCAGAATTTCGGCAGGTACACGAGTTGATTATGATATGCCCATCCTCAATCAAAAGAAGAGGCCTGGCATTCTCAAAGTAAAGCCCTTTCAAAGTGCACACAGCAAACTGAGTTTACTCTTACAGTTAGAGTACATTTATCACCATGCGGACTGGATCTTTTTATTTTTTTTTTAAATGAGCAATAAACGACCTAAGTTTTTCTTTCTGAAACTGGCTCTAACGTGTTATAAATATTCCAGAAAGTTAAATAAATTGTAAATCAACTTTTAAAGACCCTCTCATAAAACAAGTGAGCCTTTATTCCCTGTTTATTGTACACTTTCTTCCCAAACTGCTACAGCAAATAAGCGTTTCTCTTAGTGGTGTGGAGGCCTAGTGAATGCATCAATCAATGCTGCCAAGTGTGTAGGAGGGGAAAAGGGGAAGAAAAAAACTTTCTGAACGTGATAATAACTCAAGAGAAGCCAACTTTGCTAAATACCTGACTATGCCCGGGGCCTGCGTAGAGACACAGGTATGCTTCAGAAAGGCACAGCCCCAGACCAGAACTTTATCTTTTCAAATCTCACTCAAGAGACACCGTTGTGTCCATCAGGGTCGTTCTTGCTATTGCAGTCTGCTGGCATTATCCACAAGTTCTATGTGCTGCAAACTTTTGCCAATTGGAATTTCAGCCTTCGAATCTCAGCACTTTCACTGCAGACTATAATTCATTCAAATTATCTTACACTTTGCATCTTATCCATATGCAATTGTGAACCTTGCCAGAAGTGGTTGGAGAAGTTTCATTCCATAATTCCACAAGTTACTAAAATAGTAACTTTGGAAGTGTGTGTGTGGTGGGGGGACTTTTACAATAACTAAAACAACTGCTATCCATTATTAATGTGAGGCCTAAATCCCAAACAGACCATCTCCACATAAAAGATGCATTTAAGAGTCTTCTGAGATCAAATGGCCAGTGTTATTACTGTTAGATACTGCAGTAAGAAGGGAAGTCATGTGGGAAATAAATCCAGAATCTAGAGGAGAGAGGAAAAGCTACTGATACTTTTAGTCTTCCAAAGTATTCCCGGTAAACCGTTAGCTCCAGCTCATTTAAGGCACAGTGGTAGCAGGGTTTGGAGGGAGTCATGAATAAACCTTGTGCTCGAAGCCTATAACTTCATGTAGGTGATTACTGGTCAGACTGCAATGTTTTAAAGCAATATAAAGACTCGTGCTTAAGAAGAAAAATTAGCGCAAATCACTCTGACTTTGTGCCTTTTAGTCAGAGAAAATAAATAATATATTCAAACGGGACCAGATCCGGAGCCGCAAAATAGCAATGTTTCCTTGCCGGTGGTGCAGAAGAGACCGGTAGGAATAGGCTGGGAGGCTCGAGAAAGAGGGGCGGAGGGGCTCCAAGCCCCACGCTGCGAGTGGGGTTGCAGGGAAAGTTGCCGGGTCCTGCGTGCTGAGGCTCCTGGGCCGTGCACTGGCGGCGGCAGCAGGGCAGCCGACTCGGGTCCCGGCCACCGCTCCACCTCGGGCCGGAGCCCCACTCCACC